TTTAAAAAATTAAATAAAAAATACAATCTCTTAAAATAAATAAATAAATAAATAATGATTATTTTTTGGTGAGATGTATTTTCCTACAACTTTAATATTCGTTACATAAAAATTGTTTTGTTATAATAAAGAACTAAAATAGATGGCAAATTGAATCAAACTGTTGAAACAAACATAGGCATCCACCTCTCCACCCAACTAAATTTACATGAAGTGACAGAAGTATCATTAAGAAAAAAATACAAAACCGGGCGCCTGGGTGGCTCAGTCGTTAAGCGTCTGCCTTTGGCTCAGGTCATGATCCCAGAGTCCTGGGATCGAGTCCCGCATCGGGCTCCCTGCTCCACGGGGAGCCTGCTTCTCCCTCACCCACTCCCCCTGTTTGTGTTCCTGCTCTCGCTATCTCTCTCTCTTTCAAATAAATAAATAAATTCTTTAAGAAAAAAAAGAAAAGAAAAAAATACGAAACCATTACAAAGCAGCCAACTATAATGCAATATGGCGGAAATGGTATGAAATGACTGAAACACAGGAAATAGACTTTATGAACTCTAGGGAAAAAAATATTCATGACCTAAAACACAAGAGGAAAAAAAGAACTGCTCCAAGCCAAGTCAATGTGGAGGAGTGGAAGAGAACCTGGGGCATAGTTTTGGATGATTAATTGGGAAGCTCCATATGAACATTTAGCTGCCCAATCTGACATTCCTTATAGCTATTGGTAAGCTGTGACTAATTGGTGGGCATCCTGAAGTATTTGTTCATAGGCTAAGGAAGTTAGGAAAGATGCTGGGAACCAGAAGACATGGCAATGTACCAGCTAATAAACCAGGCCCCTCACCCCCAGACAAGTACCCACATTCCCTTCAGCAGTCCTTTTCTTCCCTCCTAAATACTCAGTGCAAACCAAGGTAAATAGGACAGGCAGTCATAGATAATTAAACACAAAGATGACAGTCAAGAACCACCAAACATGAGAGAAACCAACACTATGACAGGCACCAGACTTAATAAACAGAAGAAACAAATTGCAGGAAACAATTAATAGAAAAAAAGTTACAAACCTTTTAAATAAATATAATTATTATCTTTAGAGAGAGGCATATAACTGTTGCTTCCATTAGAAAAAAAGCAACAAAGAATATTTAAAGTTAAGATATTGAACAACAAGATTTAATACTCCTTAATATTTGGACTGAGTAACAAAAAGGAAAGAGAACAATGTCAAGACAAGAAGAATTTTTTAAAAAATCAAATTTAGGATTTTCTCAGAACACAAGGACAAAGACATGGAAAGTATGGGAGAAAGGGTAGGCAAAGTGACCAGTGGGGCCAGACAGTAATACTCAATTAGAAGATTCCAAAAGGGGTGAAAAGAGGACACAAGTGAAGGAAGGGGGAATCAAATAGAGAAAGTAATGTTATACATGATGAACAACTCAATATACAATCCACGTAATTAGAAAAGACCGAAATAAACCCAGAAAAACCACATGAAGGATTTATGAGTAAAAGCAGTATTTAGCAGTAATTAATGAAAGAGAAAAGAATCAAGTATCTACAGTTATCAGTTTAAAACATGAAGTAAGCATCTCTTCTGTTTCAAGTATTCATCTAAGTTCACAAGATACAGTGCTGCCGGCAAGCTTAGTAGGTGAGACAGACACCACCATTAATTAGACATTGTTTCCACTATTGACCTGAAATGCCATGTTCCCAACATGCTAAATTTCAGTGCACATATATGACACGAAAATATGTATTTTAGAACTTCCTGTTTTATAGGTATGGCGTAAAATATTCTTAAGTGTGCTTATTAATTCTCCATATATACAGCTGATATTCCTGCTTCATCCTCTCCAGATAACCACAAAAAATGCTGGAAGGGATCAGTGGAGAAAGAGTTTGCAGATTCTGGATAACCTCTCAATAACTGATATTCCTAAGTCCGAAGCCGATATTCAGTGGCTCTGCTACCTCTGAAACTGAGGTTGGCAAAGTCCAGAAGGTTAGTTTCACTGCCATAAATTGTTCCAAGGTCTGTAGACCTCTATAAAAAGCAATAAGACAAGAAATCTAATACATTCAGGTAAATACAGTATTTTTGAAGGCAGTCTGCCGTAACATGCCTACTTCAATTTTAAGCCATTCCCAGTGTTACAGACACCGAAGGTCAAATCTTTGTTGTAGATACATCTCCTTCTTCTTTTCCATTTCCACTGCCACCACAGACAAGAACACAGACCCTCATAAACTGTTGCCTGGACTACAGTGGTTGACTCATGACAAGTCTCCCCATCTCTATTTTTCCCCTAACCCCAAACTTTCCCAACGAGTATTCTCCAGTTACCTTTTAAATAGAATTTTATGCTATTTTCCACTCACATTACTAACTTATAGAATTTGAGAATTGCTTGGAAATTATCTAACCAAACTTCCATTTGATATAAAGATTTTTTCAGTAGTGCCTCTGAGAGTTCTGTGAATGATGTGTAGCCAATTTCTTCCAAAATCTGAAATTCCACCTTCATAGTTAATATTTTACTGCAAGTTTATTTCTTATGTTTAGTTAAAAATCAGTCTCCAGAAAGTTCCATTCTCTGAAACTTACTATAGTTGCATATTGCCTTTTAGATGAAATATCTCAAACAATATTGAAAAAATTAGAAGGAAAAACGATGCTTAGTGTTACAAGACAAAGAGGAAGAAAGGCACATTGGAAAAAAATTTAAATGGTCATTAGTTGCAGGTATCATTATTGTCTAAGGAAAATCCAAAATTGCCTATAAACAAACTAGAATAATTAATAAATAAATTTAAGAACAGTTCTGGTTCCAAGATCAATATTCAAAAAATCAATTTTAAGTCAATATGCCAACAACAGCTTAAACAGAAAATTAAAATTTAAAAATATTTAAATAAAATCAAATACCAAATAGAAAAAATTGGGGAAAATTTCAGACCTCTACACCAAAAACTTCAAAATTAAGTTTCAATAAATAAAGAAATATATCATGATCATAGATTAAAATATTCACTCTTGTAAATATGGAAATTCTTCCAAAATTAATCCATACATTTTAGGTGAACAGAGTAAAATTTCTGGTAGATTTTTTTGGGGAAACTGAGAGACTGATTCTAATATGTATTTAGAAACCTAAAGTGTCAAGAATAAGCTAGGCAATCTTGAAGAAAAAGAAGAATGATATGGAGGACTTACACAACCACATATCATGACCTTTTATAAAGCTATACTAATTAAGGCAGTGTGGTCTTGGCAAAAGAACAGACTAAGAGTGGAGCAAAATAGATATTCCGGAAATAGGTCCTCACATACAAAGACATATAATTGGGCGCCTGGGTGGCTCAGTTGGTTGGGCGACTGCCTTCGGCTCAGCTCATGATCCCGGAGTCCCGGGATCGAGTCCCGCATCGGGCTCCCGGCTCGGCGAGGAGCCTGCTTCTCCCTCTGACCCTTTCCCCTCTCATGCTGTTTCTCTCTCTCTCTCTCTCAAATAAATAAATAAAATCTTTAAAAAATAAATAAATAAATAAATAAATAAATAAATAAATAAATAAAACAAAGACATATAATTTACAGTAAAGGTGCCACTACAATGAAGAGGGAAAAAGATGGTAATTTCAATAAGTGGTGATGGATCTACTAAAGATTCAAGGAAAAAAAAATGTTCTGGACTTCTACCTGATACCATACACAAAAATCAAATCTAACTTGATTAAAAATCTAAATCTGAAAAATAAAACAATGCTTTTAGAGGAATATATAGGAATATACTTTTCTAACCTTGGAGTAAGCAAGAATTTTTAAATAGAATACAAAAATGATATTAAAACTCGTAAAGTGGATTTTATTAAAATTAAGAACTACTTTTCATCAAAAGTCACTATTGGGTTAAAAGTGAAATCACAGAGTAAGAGAAGATACTTAAAATTTATATATCTGATAAAAGATTTGTATCCAGAATATATAAATGATTATTACAAAGCAATAAGAAAAATATGAACAGCCCAACAGAAAAAAACCGGTTAAAAAATTGAAAAGGCACTTCACAAATATGATTAACCATGTAGCCGAGAAGTAATATGAAAAGGTGTTTAACTTCATTAGTCATGTGAGATGTACACAGCATAGGGAATACAGTCAATAATATTGTAATAATGTTGTATGGTAACAGATGGTAGCTATACCTATCATGGTGAGCATTGTGTAATGTACAGAAATGTTGAATCACTAAGTTGTACAACTGAAACTAATATAACATAGTGTCAACTATGCTTCAATATTAAAAATTTTTAAGTTAAAATTACATGAAAAAAAACAAAGAAAAAGGAGAAAACACCACAAGTAGGTTAGGATGCTGAGTAATTGCTCTTATATATTGCTACAGGGAGTGTAAATTGGTACAAACACTTTGAAAAACTATTTTGCAATATCACTGAAAGATAAACATGTATATATCCTATGAACTGGAAATTCCATTCTTATGTATCATTATTTGCCTAGAATAGAACTGTGTACTTAATAACTCAAGAGGAACTACAGAAACCATTTAGAAACAATAGGAAATTTCAGTTGGCCAATTATATAATTAATATGTTATGATGTAATATAACATAAATATATAAATAGAATATAAAATAAATAAATATAGAATAATCAGTAATAAAAGAAGCATCGGTTAGAAAATATAAAAATGGATTGTATATACAATAGAAACTAAGTATATGAAAGATCTAGAGAAAAAAACCCTCATAATGCATATGTAATAAAATGCATATTATATATGTGTAAAGAGAAAGAGAAACATAAAACCCAGTTGAGAAATATACATACATGAAAAAGAGTTGACATGGAGAGACTTCCTATGTTTTTAGAGTGGGAAGATTCAAAATTATTGAGATATCAGTATTTCTTAAATATAATCTAAAATTCAATGCAGTCCTAATTAATATCCCAATAAGATATTATGGGATATAGAATGTAGAATATGGGAGAAAGGAATAAAATCCAAATACATACCTCCTTTCTGATAAAGTCATAAGTTACAATTAAGCAGTGTTCAAATAGTTGATATTCTTGTGATAGCTACTCAGGGAGAAAATCTACGCTCTTTAGCACACGTTCAGTTCGGAGAATCTGTTGCCAATACATGATTTTATTTTTGGTTTCTTGGTTTTTTGTTTGTTTGTTGCAAGTTTTTATTTAAATTCTGGTTAGATAACATGTAGGGTAAGAGTGGTTTCAGGAATGGAATTTAGTGATCTGTTTGACACTGATTTTAGAAGGCTCTTGTTGTAACAAGTCACTGGAGTTCTACAAGTGACTGATTCAGCCATCCATATGCGCTTGACGGCCTCTATTCTTAAGGAATAAATGGTCTAGCCCACAAACATTTCACCTTCCCATGGCGAGCCTTGGAATCACACTTATGACACATTTAGCAATGCTGGGAATTCCCCCCTCGACTTTGGACTTGAGACCCCATGAGCCAACACTCGCGGAGTCCCTCCTCCTCTTCCCTTTACCCTATCCTGCTTCCCCCACTTCCACAGTGTTGCTGATTATTTTATTTTATTTTTTTTTAAAGATTTTATTTATTTATTTGAGAGAGAGAACGAGATAGAGACAGAGAGCACGAGAGGGAAGAGGGTCAGAGGGAGAAGCAGACTCCCTGCTGAGCAGGGAGCCCGATGCGGGACTCGATCCCGGGGCTCCAGGATCATGACCTGAGCCGAAGGCAGTCGCCCAACCGACTGAGCCACCCAGGCGCCCCATTGCTGATTAATTTAATAAGGCAAGAAAGAAATGACTCCCAACGAGTCAGAGGCCCACGATCCCCTCCACCACCACCCTCGTCCCACTTCGTATACTCCTTTCTTTTAAATGAAACCCAGCAGACGGATAGCGGGGAGCCCACTTCTCTGACCTCTGTCACCACCTGGCCTGGAGCACAGTCTATCCTCTCTGATTCGGGGATCTCTGGGCACTCTGGAACAAACGCAGTCTCTGCATAGGAATTAAAGGGAAAAGTTGGACATTTGTAGCGCAATCACAATTCCAGAAAGGATGCAGGGAAAGTTATAGACTTTTTCAGCCAATTCTCCAGTCAATGATTACTAGCAGCCAATATCTACATGTACATACAAATGCTAAATACATCTGCCTTTTGTTCGGTTGGTTTTTACTGAGATATAATTCACATGCCATGCCATAAAATTCACCTTTTTAAAGTGTACAATTCAATGGCTTTCAGTATTTTACAAAGTTGTGCAACCAATCACCACTCTCTAATTCCAGAACATTTTCATGCCCCTGAAAAGAAAGCATGTGCCCATTAGTGGTCACTCCCCATCCCCCTCTTCTCCCAGTCTCTGGCAAATGCTAATCTGCTTTCTGTCTCCGTGGATTTGCCTATCCTGAATATTTCATATAAATGGAATCATAAACTATGTGGTCTTTGGTGTCTGGCTTCTTTCACTCGGCATAATGTTCTCAAGGCTCATCCATGTTGCAGCATGTAACAAGTACTTCATTCCTTTTTATGGGTGAATCATAACCACATTATGTATATATAACCCTTTAAAAAATCCGTTCCAAAGTTGATGTACGTTTGGATTGTTCCCACTTTTTGACTATTGCACAGAATTCTACAATGAACATTCACATACAGGTTTTTGTGTGAACATATGTTTTGAATTCTCTCGGTTATGTATCTGGCAATAGAATTGCTAAGTAATACGGTTAATACTATCTTTAAGTTTTGGGGGAACTGCCAAACTCTTTCCCAAAGGGACTGCACAATTTTACATACCCACTAGCAGTGTGTGAGGGTTCCAATTTCTCCACATCCTCAACAACTGTTTTTGTCTGTCTTTTTCAAGATAGACATTTTAGTGGGTGTGAAGGCATTTGATTTTGATTTGCATTTCCCCAAAACTGATACTGAACACCTTTTCATGACATACTGGCCATTTGTAGATCTTCTATGAAGAAATGTCTGTTCAAATCCTTTGCTCACTTTAAAAACTGGATTATTTTTCTTTTTTGTTTTGAATTGTAAGATTTCTTTATATATGCTGGATACAAGAATCAGGTATCACCCGCAAATATGTTTTCCCAACCAGTGGACTGTCTTTTCACTTCCTTGACGGTGTCCTTTAAAGCATAATTTTTTTAAGTAAAATTTGCCTATCTTTTCCTTGGTTGTTATGGTTTCAGTGTTATATCTAAGACACTGTTGCCTAACCCAAGGTCAAAATATTTATAACTATGTTTTCTTCTTAGAATTTTATAGGTTTGACTCTTACATTTCAAGTTTTGATCCATTTTGAGCTAATTGTCATATGTAATGTCAGGTAGGGATCCAGAATTATTTTTTTACATGTGGTTATCCTGTACCCCACACATTTGTTTTTTGTTTGTTTTTTCTTTTTTCCCCCACTCATTTTCAGCCATCTGTGAGGTAAACTGGGACAATTTTATTGTCCCCATTTGAATAAAGACCTTCATTCAACATTGGCTATTTTTACTTTAGCTTTTGTCACCTTTGTGAACCCCAACCCCACCCCTGCCACCCTCCAATGTAACATCAGAAGTAGGATCTGGTTTAGCAGGTTCCATGAGCCAGTCAACACCCAGAATTCCATTTGAAGCTTGAGTCAACAGTTACTGTGGGCCTAATAGGTGCCCTTTAGTACCTTTGTTTCTGTTCAAAAAAGACCTCAAAACAACTCTCCTACCTTTATGGCTCTATACTTGTTTGTATATATACTTAAATAAAAATTTATTTTAAAATTGGATTAAAGACTTAAATGTAAGACCCTTGAAACTGTGAAACTCCTTGGGACGTCTGGGTGGCTCAGTCGGCTAAGCATCTGCTTTTGGCTCAGGTCATGATCCTGGGGTCCTGGGATCGAGTCCCGCATTGGGCTCCTAGCTCTGTGGGGAGCCTGCTTCCCCCTCTGCCTGCTTCTCCCCCTGCTTGTGCTCTTTCTCTCTCTCTGTCAAATAAATAAGATCTTAAAAAACAAAAGAAAGAAACCATGAAACTCCTAGAAAAAGACATGTGAGAAACACTTCATGAAATTGGTCTTGGCAAGGACTTCATGGATATGATACCAAAAGCACACACAACAAAAGCAAAAATGAACAAACGGGACTACATCAGACTAAAAAGCTTCTGCACAGCAAAGGAAACCATCAACAGAATGAAAAGGTAACATAAAGGATGGGAGAAAATATTTGCAAACCATCTATCTGAAAATGGGCAAAATTCTAAAATATATAAGGAATGCCTACAACACAATAGTAAAAATAAACAAAAAGAATCTGATTAAAAAATGGGCAAAAGACTTCCATAAGCTTTTCTCTAGAGACACACAAATGGACGACAGAAAAGAAGCTCAATGTCACTAATCATCAGGGAAATTTAAATCAAAACCCCAACTAGATATCACCTCACATCTTAGGATGGCTATTATTAAAAAAAATTAAAAAAAAAAGATAAGTGTTAGTGAGAATGTGGAACAATTAGAACCTTTGTATACTAATGGTGGGAATGATGCAAATTGGTGCAGCCACTATGGAAAACAGTACAGAGGAAATATTATTTCCTCAAAAAATTAAAAATAGAACCACCATATGATCCAAAAATCCCACTGCTGGATCTGTATTCAAAGAATTCAAAGAATTGAAATCAAAACCTCAAAGTGATACTAGAATTCTCATGTTGATTTCAGTGCTATCCACAAATAACCAAGATGTGAAAACAACCCAGGCGTCCATCAACCCATGAATGGATAAAGAAAATGTGGTATGTATACATATAACAGAATATTATTCAGCTGTAAGATAAGGAAGGAAATCTGGTCATTTACAACAACATGGATGAAACTGTTAAGTGAAATAAGCTGGTTACAGAAGGGCGGATGCTGCATGATTCCATTTATATGAAGTATTTAAAATAGTCAAATTCACAGATGAAAAGACTAGAATGATAGTTGCCAGGGCCGGGGGGGAGGGGAAATGGGGTGTTGCTAATCAGCATGTAAAATTTCAGTTATGCAAGACGAATAAGTTCTACAGATCTGATGTACAACATTGTGCCTATGAATAATCATGCCTGATGTACACTTCAGAATCTATTAAGAGGGTAGACCTCATGTTAACTGTTCTTACCACAATAAAAATAAATAAATAAATAAATAAATAAATAAATAAATAAACCCTCCTTTTCAACTCATGGAAGCATATCTTCAAAAAGCATCTTGAAAGAAGCGCAATATGTAGAACAGGTATAAGTGGAATTGACTACTCTGCATGAATTAGAGTGTGGTTTCAGCTAAATGCAGGTGTGAAGATCTAGGTTTTTTTTCTTAAAGATTTTATTTATTTATTTGACACACACAGAGAGAGAGAGAGAGAGATCACAAGAAGGGGGCGGGGCAGAGGGAGAGGGAGAAGCAGGCTCCCGGCTGAGCAGAGAGCCTGATGCGGGGCTCAGTCCAAAGACCCTGAGATCATGACCTGACCCCAAGGCAGATGCTTAACCAACTGAGCCACCCAGGCGCCCCGTGAAGACCTAGTTTTATGTTGACTAAAAGAAACTACTTATTCATGTACGTTGGACAATAATCTCATGGGACTTGTTACCCAAAGTTTAATAGGGAAAAAATAGTAATAGGCTGAAAATAGCTTATATCAATGGTTTTCAGATCCTCTTTCAAAGACATAATTGTTCCTAGAAAGCACCCTAATGTTTACTGTGGAGAATGGTGAAGACAGATTGAGTAGGTAGGGTTCTGCTATCAGCACAATTTCTTTTCAATGCACACTTAATCTGCATGTATAACGTGAGCTTTAGCAAGCAAAATAAACCTCAAATTCTGTTTTAATTGGGGATAGATTTTTATATTACACACTATTATTTTATTATTTAGAGTTTCATGTGCATGGAGGAGAAAGCATTTTGGATGCTTCTGTGTGAAAGAGAACAGTTTCGAAGATATTGATGAAGAAATCATAGCTATTTCAATCAGAATATGGGCTGGAGGCTAATTGTAATTGATATATTTGAGCCAAGTTAATCAACTTGCTGCAACCTAATTTCCTTTTTCATAATGTAGTGGGATTGGGCACTGTTACCTCAACTGTTCTTTCTCCTTGAAGGCTCTACTACTTCATGACTGGATTGAAGGGCAGACATCTGATAAGCCTAATTTTGCTTCTTGTTAATACTTCATCAAATGGGACTTGGGAGACCCTGAATGTCACTGGCATTCAAGGTTTTGTTGTAGAAAAAGAAAACATGTCTTTTGAAGATTGACTGAAATTGGTGGATGTGGATTTTGAGTGATGCAATGTGGTGCCATGCTGACGAGCGAAGGAATATAATCCTTCCAAACCCAAAACCACAAGCATCCTCCTTACCTTCAGTTTTCTTCAACACAAAAAACATCAAGAAGATGTCTAAGGCCAGTACAGTCAGGAAGAAGATGATCAGAAGGACTTCCAATATACTGAGTTTCTTTGCCATCTAGATGGACACAGATAATGGGATTTAAGCAAACCGCAAAGCTCCATCCATCCAAAAGGACAGGCATCATGATTATAATGTGAATTCATTTGCAAGATGACTTGATTACAAGCATTCCTCCTTACATAATCCAGAGAATATTGGTTTCCACTCATCACAGTGTTTACAATTAACTGTGCATCCAACACCTCTAGAGCCTTTGCCTTTTTTGTCTGCAGAGGGTTGAGTATTGTCCAAGGAAGGAATATTTCAGACATAAAGAGCTGAAAGTAGAGAGGGAGGAGTGGAATAGAGTACAGGAGAGAGATAAGGTGTTGAGGTGCCTCACAAAGCCCTTTTAGATGCCACTTTGATCCTCATACCCACCCTGGACAGTAGAGTGGAGGGTACACTCAGGGAGCGAAAAAGTAACAAAACCTGAATCCTATCTTCTTATTCCAATTCTCATGCCATGATGGCAAGATGTTTAATTATTTAGAAGTGACTAATCCTGTTAAGTCTCTGATAACAAAAATGAACCTAATCCTGATCTCCAGCACAATGCTTGCTTGCGTGGTCACAGCACACAAACCCATATAAATTTGGTGGCTCACTGTAACCTTGCCAATCATGCATACATAGACCCAAGTTTTAAAATATTTGGTGTACTGGAGTGTGTAGTGAACTGGGAACCAAAGAACATTCATTCTTGTCCTGACTTGCCTACCAATAGGTGGGCATTTTGGCTATTTGGATGTGTATTTCTTTATCTCCAGAAGTCAGATTCTGGAGGTACTCCCAAGCTTATGCTCTAATTATAGCAAATCTCACATTATACATATGTCTCACAACCCCATGACGGCCCTCACCATGTCATTCCTTGACCAACTTTCCACCATCTTCAGCACTCTTCCCACCATGGCTGCACATTGGCTACTCCCTGGAACTTACCACCCTCCAGAATTGTTCCATTTCTGAACTCTAAGCCTCTACTTCCTACTTACTGGGCAGAAGCCCATCCCCTTTTACCCTCTTATTGCATTGTTTATTCTTGGACCACACTGAGGCTTCTGTTCTGTTCCACTCCCTCTTAATCTCTTAGCCCCTCCTGGCCTCCTGGCTGTTATCATTCCCCGATGTAGTCCACGGCAGCTATTATTACTCTCATCTTCCTTGCTCCCTCATCTGCTAACTGAATCTATACAATGAAACCATTGATCCAAACTTCTGCCTTCCGAGTTTATGCACTCAGCCCAACGTAGATGCCACTGGGTTCATAATCTGACAAATATACTGGGCCTTAAAGCTGACTGACAATCTTGCCACCTTCTCTCATTTTTCACAGGAGAAATTTCAAACATTGATCCTTGTTTTCAAGCCCCAACCTTTGTCACCTATGCTGTTACTCTCAGCCAATACCATCTCCAACGTCACAAATGAAACAACTATTTTGCAGAAACTATTCCATATACCTGCTTCTCAACCCAAGCATTTCTATGAAATTTATCTGTATCTAGGTAAACTCTTACTTTTTCCCCCTCTTCTCAACTGAAGAGTTTTCCCTCCTCTTGTCTAAGGATAACCCTTTTATCTATTCTGTAGATCTCACACACTTTGAATTTCTCAAAAATCTTGTTCCACCAATTATCCTTCCTCTTCCTTGCGTTATCAACCTCTCCCTCTGAACGTGCTCTTTCCCCTCAAAAGTAATATCCCAAGTCACCCTAAACTCTGGTGATTATTCTGTGTCTTTCTCTAGGTACCATTATAACTTTCTTTTTCCTCTTACAGCTAACTTTCCAAAAAGATAATGGCACACTGTCTGCATTACCTTCCTTCTTATTACTGGCATGGCTTCTGTTTTCTTGCATTCCACTGAAACTCCCCCTGCCAAGGTCACCAGTGATTTAGCTGCTGAATACAATGGGCACTCTCTTAATCACCCAGCACTATCAACCACTCCTTCCTCTTTAAATTTCTCCATCTTTGGATTCCTTGACTATCATTTAATCTTGGTTTTCACCTACTTTTCTGGCTCCTCCAATTTTCTTTTAGTTCCATTTCATTAAGATATTGATATTCCCTATATTTTCAACATAGGTCCACCATCCTCTCTCTTTTAGCAAACTCCACCACTCATATGACTTCATATAACACCCGAGGACAATGCAATCTTTATTTCTAGCCCAGAGATTCAGATTTATATGTGCAACTGCCTATTAGATAATCTCACCTGGATGTCCCACACACTTAACCAAATTCAACACATTTGAACATGTGTTCACCGCTCCCCACACCCCAGTCCTAACTTCCACCAATTCTGCCCAATTGGCCTCTCCTCAATAATTAATATCTTGAGGAACAGAATCACAATTTTGTTAAAAAATCTACATAACTTTTTTGACTTCTCTCTTTTTTGCATTTCTCACAGCCAGTCACCAGTTCAGTCAGACTCCTTCCCCAATATCTTTCAGATCTGTATCTTCTTCTCCATCCCTACTGGAAATGCTTTAGTCAGGCCATTATTTTTGGCCTGAACTGTGACCACAACTTCCCCACTGGCTCCCTGCTTCTAATTGGCAGATGGATTAATCTTTCTACTGCACAAAAAAGGTTATTTGGTTTTCCTATACTCAGGTCCTCAGTGGTTCTCCAAATAAAATGCAAACTCTTCAGCTTTGTTATCAAAGGTCTTCATGACATCTCCTATGCCTGTGTGGCCTGCGTCTTCTCTCCCTTATGTTCCAGCTGTACCAAGCAAACAACTGTGTAGTAATAATCTGTAAATCCATGTAAATAAAGAATTTTCTTTTTTTCTTACTTTGCCTCTCCTTTAACTTTGCATTTCCCTTCACTCCTGCTCTTCTCAGCCCTGGCCCAATGCCATGACCATTTCTATAAGCATTTCCATATGCGTATAGTTTCACTTTTTAATTGAGGCAGGCTTTTGTTTAATGTGTAATAAGCCGAGTAAAAACGCACCTTAATTTTGAAATAGGGGTAAGGAGCAAGGATCTACAGATAATTTGCCAAGGGAGGGCAGAGTTAGGATTGGGGTTTGGAATTGAAGTTGGAGTATATTCACTATTCTTTCCTATTAGCCTAAATCTATCAGGTGTCTCTCCTCCAAATTATTCAAAGGTTTACTCTAATCCCCGTAAGATAGATAGATATATATATATATATATATATATGAATATAATATATAATATTATATTCCTATGACACCCCTACCTCAAAGTTGACCAGGCAGGCATTATGATTCACATTTTATGTCAATGTTAAGGGATTTTGCCTAACCATGGTTAGTGGTATGACTGAGGCAAACACTGAAGCTCTGCTTCTTAAACTAGTCTTTGAGTATTCACACTCTCTCCACAATGTCTCCTAGACCTCAGAGCTTACATATCTAGAGGCTGGATCTCTAATGTAGAATTTCAGGCAATGAAAGAAGTCTGAGGGACCAACCCCAAATGCTTGCCATACCTGACTTCGTTACTTATACATACAGCCCAGGACTCACTACCACAGCAAACATGCTGTCTGTCACTCAGTTTCCCTTCTCCAAGCATTGTGTCTCTCCATGAGATTTTCCTTCCCAGCCTCTACAAACCCAAAGCAGCTACTTCTTCCAAAGCTCCTGAATCCTCCTGGGGGGAGCAAGGAGGGGGAAGCAGGCTCAACACCCGTGGCTCAGGAAGTTCAGAAGACTCTGCAGACAGCCCCAGGCATTTTCCTGCCACAGGAACTATTGGCATTCTGGCAGAGAGCAGGTAGATGGGGATTCATAAAGGTAGAAAGTCTCTCCTACTTAGAAACCCTGCCTACTCAGCCACTTTTCTTTATCAAACACAATTTAAGATAATTAAAATCCAGGCTATTATTAAAGACCTTAATGATCATATACCATTTCCCTCTCCACAAAGAGATGCCTCTACTGTCTTCCCAATCCATCACTTTCAGCTAGCTTCCAGAAGTATCCTATCTGTTAATTCTTTCCTTGTTTTCTCCCAGTGAGAAAGGAACGTCTTGCATTCGACCCTCCCCATCTGTTACACACACATACATACACACCTCTCCTGCCCAGTCAGCCGGTTACTCCATGCACTATCTCATCCCCACTCCTCATAGTCTCTGGAAAAGGAAGAAAGTATAAGGTCCAGAAGAAAAGTGTGAGTTGTCCAGATCATTTAGCAAAGACAGGGACATTTAAAAGAAAAAAAGAGCACTACTTATTTAAAGCCACCATGTGCATGGAGAAAAGTACCCACCTCATAGCCGTATCCCTTTATTTGCTGTGTCTATCCCTCAGTAGTTCTTGAGGAACACTGAGCAAAGGTGACAAGGCTGATGTAGCCAGCTTCTGCCAGGATTGATTTATTGCCCTGTAAATTTGATGATGATTGGAGGACAGGAGTGCATTTTCCAGCTAACCATAAAGGGCCCTTGCTTTCCCTGTGACTTAGGGAAAGCTCCATTTGTTAATAAAAGAGGAAGGTGGGGTTTTATTCTAACAGTTATGCTTCTTCTGTATTCCTGTTCATATCCAATTACTTTGTTTGTCACACTACATTATACTTGTCTGTCCACGTAGCCTAAAGTGTTCAGGGAGCTGGGCATCTTCAGTTGTACCTACAGCTCCTGTGCTTAAGCACTCTGCCCAACATAAACATACAGCTATTTGTTGAATAAGTAAATGAAAAAAGGAATAGCTCTTGCTTGGTTCACCCACATTGTTCCTTTTTTCATTTTGTCTCCCAAAGTTCTCTTGAGTAACTCAGCTTTCCATTAATTTAAATAAGCATTCCCACCAATTATTCTCAATAAAATAAGTACCATCAAACTAGACGTTATATAATCTTAAAGTGGGAAGATACCTCTACTGGAAATTTGCCATGCTCTTTGACTTTTTGGCACCTTTAAAAAACTTCTAATATTTAAGGAACTTTCCACCCTGGGAATTCTGCCTCCCCACACCCCTCCCCTAAGTAAGAGGTTAGAAATTCTCTTTCACAATCTCCCTTTCAGCCAAGGTAGAGGCCGGTGGTCTGTGCTCGGCCACTGAGATGTGCCTGTGGAATCCAGGATGGTAAAGAGGCACTGTTTCAGAGGCAGCAGGGACTGGGAACCTAGCAGCATCCTATGCTCAGTAATGAGAGTACAAGCTGCCAGACATGTGCTAAGGGCCATGGCAGTGGAACCTCCCACAAGGTAATCAGGCTGGTGTACCTAGCCACATAGCCTACAAACCTGACACTCTAGCCCTCCTGGAGTTTCAGTGAGTCACCAATATCTTTCAAGATTCAGTTTTGTTCTTAAGCTAGCTAAAGTGTGTTACTTTTGTAATGAAATATAACTCACATGCCATGACATTCACCCTTGCAAAGTATACAGTTCAATGGTTTTTAGTATATTCACAGAGTTTTGCAACCATCACCACTAATTCCAGAACATTTCCATCATTCCAAAAGAAAGCCATCACTCATTCATGGTCACTCCCCTTTCTCTTCTCCCCAATCCCTGCAACCACTAATCCACTTTCTATCTTTATGGATTTGCCTATTCTGAACATTTCATATAAATAGAATCATACAATATGCAGCCTTTTGTGTCTGGCTTCTTCCATTTGGCATAATGTTTTCAAAATTCAACCATATTGTTGTAGGTATTAAGCACCCTCAGGTATCAGGGCTTTATTCTTTTTTATGGCTGGATGCTATTCATTACATCAATACATTACATTTTGTTTATATACTCATCAATTGATGTATATTTGGGTTGTTTCTACTTTTTTTGCTATTAGGAGCAATGCTGCTATGAACATGCATGTACAAGTTTTTGTGTGGACATATATTTTCAATTCTTTGGGGATACACCCCAGAATGAAATTTCTGGATCATATGGTCACTCTATCTTTAAC